GTGTCTAAATTGCTTTTGCTCTTTTGAATACTTATTAATTTTCCTAACTTTTGTCATGAGAGTAAAGGTCCTTTAAGACTCCAAGATCACTCTAATTTTAGTTGGTAATTTTGTTTTGTTTTGTTTAGTTGATAATTTTTGAGTGATGATAAAATTATCGCACCATGATGGTGGCAAAGTCAACAAGGGTCTTGGAAGGCAGTGGAATTCGCTAAGAGAAGGGGAGACGGGAGGGGAGAGAGGGGAGAAGAGTGAGGGGAGAGGAAGGAGAGGGGAAAGGGGAGAGGGGGGAGGGGAGCCCGAGTGGCCCTGGGGAGAGGGCTGCTGCGTGTGACTTTGTTCTTCAAAAGCCTGCATGTGGTCTCGGAGCATTCTCTCTCTCTGTATATTTGTCAATACATTCCACTTTACCTTGGGCTTGCATGAGTAAGTGTCTTTACTTTGGAATCAACAACAACAAAAAATTGAAGAAAAAACACACACCAAAAACTTTTATCAGAAAACTTGACACATAACAGGTATTTGATAACTGGTAGCTGCCGCTGCTGTTACTCAGATTCTAAAACGGAGTGAAGAACGGATGGGTCCTTAGGATTTTCTGGTCACGCTGGTGGGATGGGCCACGCGTTTCAGGGAGCGCTACTAGTCACAGGCAAATTAGGGCTTTGGAAATGGTCACCATCTCATTGTGAGTGGGCACACGGTGGTTAGAGGCTGGGCATGCGTTGGTTTTGTTTTACTTATGTCTCCCCCTTTGTTACTTCCGGACCCTTGCTGTCTTTCATGCAAAGGAAGAAGTCTAGTAAACATGGAGAAATACATATTGACTAATTAAATAGATAATATTTTATGAGTTAAGTCTCTTCTGAGTGTTAAGATATTGCTATCTTGTAAACATTTTTAAGTAGCTGGCATAGAGGAGCAATTACAAATTTTAAGACAAATGAAAAAGTTTACTTTTTTTGGTCCTTCCTATAGGTTCTCCAAGGACATAAAACTTTCCTGAATGATGCTTATAATTGGGAGTTTTTGATCTGGGAAACAGCTTTACTGCTTTTCTTACTGCGCCTGGCCTCACTGGGGTCTGAAACCAATAAGAAATACAGCAACGTCTCCATACTGCTTACTGAACAGGTACTGCTGTCCCTGCCGGCTTGCCCAGTGGTTAGAGATGGCACCGTAAGATTCGTGCAGAAGATTCGGAGTGGCATTCAGAGTCTGTCACTTTCTAGCCACATGACCTTAGTCCCTATGTGATTGTCTCCTTATAAAATGAGGACAGTATCTTCCCCACCTGCTCCAGGAATTGTTATAAGAATTAAGATCTAGTGGACTGAAAATACCTTGTATACTATAAAGGTTTTCTTATTGGTGGGACTGGAGCATACTGTTAACCTCATATTGTACATCAAGTATTAGATTTTAGGAGTATTTGTCATTTAAGTATCCCATATAATAAAAGGGTAACGTGCAAATCGACCCAACAGCTGAACAACTGGTCACTATGACACACACTGACCACCAGGGGACAGACGCTCAACACAGGAGATGCCCCCCGATGGTCAGTGCGCTCCCACAGGGGAGTGCCGCTCAGGTGGGCCTGAGCCGTCAATTGGACATCCCCCGAAGGGTCCTGGACTGCGAGAGGGTGCAGGCCGGGCTGAGGGACAACCCCCTGCCCCCTCCCCCCTGCCGAATGCATGAATTTTGTGCATTAGGCCTCTAGTGTTTAATAAACTTCTTAAATTTCTTCTGTATCAGCCATGGGATACATTCAGTGTTTGGAAAATACTTGCTCTTTAGTATGTGAGTAGCTATTGAGATTGAGAAATGTTTCTTATAAATACAGAGTAGTATGTAATATTTAAAATAATTTTATGCTTATCCATACGTTTTAAATGAAAGTATTTGGTATCATTAGTTCTTTGTTTTTATTTATTTTTTGCCTTTGAATTATAATGAAGAATTTGTCCTACAAGGGAAAAAATAATGAAAGTTTTCATTGTTTTGGTATTTAAATTGCTTTAGCATTTTTTTCTTCACTAAATAGTTTCTCTTTGCCAAACATGTCTGATCAGGGATGGGATCTAGGGTCCATGACGTGCTCCATAGAAATAGCTGCTGGAATTTTACTTGGGAATATGACCCTTACAATCTGCCAGATGCTAGGGTCAATGACATATGTGCTCCATAGAAATAGCTGCTGGAATTTCAAAACTTATTTTACTTGGGAATATGACCCTTACAATCTGCCAGATGTAATGCAGTATTTGTATTTTTTCTATGACATTTACCGTAATCTCTGTTCCTTCCCTTAGATTAATTTATATCTTAAGATGGAAAAAAAGCCAACCAAGAAGGAACAGCTTACTCTAGTGAACAACGTGTTAAAACTGTCCACCAAGTTGTTGAAGGTAAGTAGGGCCCTGAGACACTTTCACTACCAGTTAAATCAAGTCATCACTTTACTTCTCGGAGACGACCCCGGGAACAGGCCGATGCGGGGCCGAGGAGACTCAAATGCCAACTCGATAGTTGACGCTAATGGCTGTACAGGAAAACGTTCCGTCGCTACGGGGTGCTGGCGACTGTGGACGCCCGTCACATCTCTTAAATTACGTTTAAAAAAAATAACCAATGACCTGCTGCTGGGACCCACCCTAACAGGCTTAGCGAATGGGAAAGGGTGGGCCCCGTTACAGCTGTTTCTTCCTTTCCCCTTTATGTGGCAGGTGTTGCAGATGTCCCCTCTGTTTTCCCCTTTGGCCCCCGGCACCTCCTATTACAGCTACTGAAGGTCAAGGGGAGACGGCCTTAAGCAGTCGCCCTCACCTAAGACCTAACATCAGCCCGGAGTCACCGACACTGAGAAGCCACGTGTCTCATCTCGGTTCTTTGTGCTTTTGTAGGAGCTGGACACCCCCTTCCGCCTCTATGGCCTGACAATGAACCCCTTAATCTTCAACATCACACGCGTCGTCATCCTGTCTGCGGTCTCGGGCGTTATAAGTGATCTTCTAGGATTTAATATTCGAGTAAGGAGGACTGCCACTCCGTAGCATCCGCCTTGGTCTTAAAAACTATATGTAATAATTACTTTTGTTCTTCACTGTGTGTGTGTGCGCGCGCGTGTGTGGGTGTGTGTGTGTGTCTGTCTGGCATGGAAATAACTTCTTTTTTTTTTTAATCCTCACCCAAGGATATTTTTCCGTTGATTTTTTTAGGGGGGGGGGAAGGGAGGGGGGAGAGAGAGAGAAATATCGATGTGAGAGAGACACATCAATTGGTTGCCTACAACATGTGCCCTGACCCCGGCCGGGGATCTGGTATGTGCTCTTAACGGGGAATTGAACCCATGACCCTTTGGTCCACAGGCCGATGCTCTAACCACTGAGCAAACTGGCCAGGGCAAAATAACTCTTGAAGTAAAGAAATAGCCATTTTGCTGGGTGGCCCACAGGCTTCTCAGCTTAGATTTCCTCCTTTCACAGAAGCACAGCATCCTGTGCTCTTGAATTGCACACAATATGGAGCTTGAATCTCATATCAGATTCATAGTCTGGGCTGAGCGGGGGTCTTCTCTGGTCGAAGGCCACGTCCAGTCAGAATGAGTGACACCCAGAGCTGGGAACCACAGGTGCCGTTCTCCATCCTGGAAACTTTTCGTGCTTTTCTCTCTACGGTGGCCTGTGGTTGCGACGGCCAGCTTTCTTCTTGTTAAAGGGTCCTTGGTTCTCAGCCATGTAAGTGTTTTTCTAACCCCCACCCGTTTGTCCTAACACCAACTTTTTCGGTGACTTTCCTTTCTTAGCTGTGGAAAATTAAATCCTAAGCTGAGCCAGGCGCCTGGACTCGCTCCCCTTGCTGGCGACACGTACCCACTAAGGAAAGAGATGACGGAGAAACCGTGAGATGCCACCGCCCGCTCTGCACGGAGGGGCCTCTGCGCGGCCTGGTCGCCCGGCGTGTCCAGCCGGGCGTGCGCGCTCGGAACCTGCTCTCGGGCTCCGGCAGCTGGACAGCAAGGACACTGGAGACTGTACGGGAGCACCAGGTCCGCTCTCCAAGTCAGGACACGTGTTCTGGACGTTCCCCGGAAATGGTCTCCTGGGTAACTATGGCGGGGACCCGGACCGTGACGCCAACATGCTTTATTGGAAATAGCAACTTCAGTCCTTCCTAGTACGGGAACAGAATTGGAGATTACATTTCTCCAGCAGAGAGATCCAACTATTTTAGGTTGAACTCAAATAAAAGAACTTTATTGGAGAATGTCAGTTTCTAGGCTTCTTTTTGTTGTCATTGAAGGAAAAAATTAACGTTTTAAACTGAGTTTCTGTTAAACTGTGGACACATTTTTAATTCGATTATAAGTTTGAGGTTGATTTGGTAGCGGTACAGTTGTTGGTGAACGAGTCATGCCTATGATATGCCATGGAGAGATCTAAGTGTGTGCACGCATGGCCTCCGTATCGATCGTCTGGGCTGATTCCCATCGCAGTCCGAAGTGAAGCAGTAATGGTTTATCTGTTGTGCAGTTAATGGATCCAGCCCTTGGTTCAAGGTCCTCTGTGTCTGTTCTCAGCCAAACGATGCCTCTGACCACTTAGAGTCTCTCCAGTATCCGCTGTGACACACACGGCCATACGCACAGGTAGGGAAAACTCTGGCAGGCTACACGTAATTCTTAGTCATTGAGTTACCTGTTTTGAAGCATCTATTGAGGCAAATTGAAAACCTGAACACTGTAATAAGATTTTGTGAATTTTTAAAGGTTAGAAAATTCAGTTATTATATGTGAAGTCTGTATAGGCACACCTCGTTCCATTGTACTTTGCTCTATTGTGCTTTGTAGATGGTGCCTTGTGTTTGTTTTTTTGTTTTGTTTTTTTTTTACAAATAGAAGGCAAGGCCCTCCAGCAGCAAAGAGATCCTGACCCGCTTTACCTGGAACCGAGCCTGCAGTATCTCCGAGGTCAGCCTGTACTCGCGCACCGTCAGGGCTCCACGTACCCTAATGTGCAGGAAGGTGTCTGAGGTTTAAAGATGAATTTCTCAAGAGACCAGGGGTTGGGGTGAGACATTTCCGGGTTCACACCCTTGGTTCTGCCACGTATTAGCTTCATGAGCTGGGCAAGTTCCTTCACTTCTCTGTATCTGTTTCCTTGCCCTTTAGATGGGCGGATACCTCCCTCGTAGGGTTGTCAATGAGGCTATCTTGTAAGGTACTGAGCACAGTTTAGAGTACTTAGCACTTAGTAAATCCACAATAAACAGCTGTATCGATACTTAAAACCCTTTAAAAAATGTTTACGGATAGGTTCCTGTGAAAACATAGGAAGAAGGTTGCTGAACTGAACGTGGTTACAAAAGTGTACGGCCATCCCAATGCTGCATGATTACTTACATTTTTAGAGGGGGAGCCCCATTAGCGATTCCCCTTCAGAAGGAACTGTTCTGAAAGGCACGAGTGTTGCCACGGGTGGCTCAGAGAAATCCCGCTTTTCCTAGTTCCATGAGGAACAGTAGCAGTTGTCTCACATCCAAGGTTGAGCTGAGTGCAGATTTCAGCAAAGACCGGTGCCTTTTTTCTCCCACAAACGATGCAGTGCTTCTTATTTTTTTAAACTTGTAATTTCTACTGAGACTGTGAATTCTTATTTTAAAAGCAGTATTAGAATAGTTTACTCTTATGCAGTTTCTGTTACGATTTTGATGGTGTATAAGTTGGTTTAAATTATTTTTCAGGCGGTTAAAATTCTATAGGGTGGGGCCAAAGTTGGTTCACAGTTGTTCATGTTGAAAACATACAATAAGAAATATTAATGTTAAGAACAAACTGTTTCACTTATTCACAACTATAAACCTACTTTTGTTCCACCCTGCACATATAGTTGCTCATGTCAGCAACTTGGGAATCATTCTCAACTCCTTATTCTTCATACCTCACATCCAGTCACCAAGTCCCTGAATAATTACCTTGTAGATATTTTTATAATCCATCCATTCTTTTGTAACCCCACTTCTGCCACCCTAGTGTAACTCGGCATCATTTGTTTCTTTAAAACAAGTTTCTGCGCTTACATTTGCAGGGCACCCCTGTCCCCCAAGCCCAATCTGCTCTCAAAAAGCGAATGTCTCTTTTCTGAAAAGCAAGTCTAATAATTTAGAATCCAGTAATGGCTTGCTGCTACTTTTAACAAGGTGTACAGGCCCTCCCTGTTGAGAAGGACTTTTGAATCTTTACATTGAAACACAGATTTTTGCTGGGTATAAAATTCTGGTTTTAAAGACGATTTTGCTGTCCTGCTTCCTGAATGGCATTGTTTCTGACAGGAAGGCTGCTGTCATTCCTACATATATCTTTAACATGTTTTGGCTGCTCTTCAGGTTTTTGTCACTGAATTTGTACAATTTATAATGTATACTGGTGTTTTCTTTTCCTTTTTTGTGTGCTTGAAGTTTGTTGCACTTACTGGATTGGATCTGTGAGTTACACAGATTTGGAAAACGTTTGGATGTTTTTAATACCCACTTCCACCCCCCATCTCTCGTCTCTGTGTATGTAACATGTATGTGAGGCTGCTAGAAGTTGTCGGGAAGCTTGCTGACATTCTATACATGGTTGCAATCTTCTTTCTCTGTTGTTAATTTTGGATTGTTTCTATTCTGTATCTTCAAGTTCACTAGTCTCTTCTTCTGCACTAATTTGCTGTTAATCCTACTCAGTGTATTTTCATCTATAGAAGTTGGATTGTTTTATATATCTTTTATGTATCTCATTGAGCTGCTTCGTGACTGTAGTCTTACACTCTGTCATTGAAGCCACAGTCTTCCGTGACATTGAACTTGGTTGAGTTTGGTTCTGGAGACTTTATTCTCCTTCTGTGCTCCCAGGGTACCTTGTTTGTTAGTGGTATTTGACGGATTGTTTCTCTGCCTGTGCATTGGAGATGGTGAGCTCTTTTCTTCAGATAGTGGTTTTGTGGGAGTTTTTTTTTAGAAGGAAAATTAAATTTTAGTATTTTTTAAAATCTTTATTGTTGAAAGTATTACATACGTCCTCCTTCCCCTCCCCCCATTAGCCTCTTCCACTCCGGTTCCCCCCTCCCCAGGCCCTCACCACCCCATTGTCTGTGTCTATGGGTTTTGAATATAAGCATACAAGTTCATTGGTTGATCTCTTCCCATCCATCTTCCCTCCCCTGCCTTCCCTCTGAGGTTCAACAGTCTGTTCATGCTTCTGTGACTCTGGGTCTATCTTTTTTTATTAAATATTTTTATTTTTTATTGATTTCAGAGAGGAAGGCAGAGGGAGAGAGAGAGAAACATCAATGATGAGAGAGAAACATTGATCGGCTGCCTCCTGCACGCCCCCGACTGGGGACCAAGCCCTCAACCCAGGCATGTGCCCCTGACTGGAATCGAACCCAGGACCCTTCAGTCCGCAGGTTGACGCTCTATCCATTGAGCCAAACCAGCTAGGGCTCTGGGTCTATTTTTATTTTTGATCATCAGTTTATTTGGTTCATTAGATTCCATATATGAGTGAGATCATGTAATACTTATCTTTCTCTGATTGGCTTATTTCACTCAGTATAATGCTCTCCAGGTCCCTTCATGCTGTTGCAAATGGTAAGAGTTCTTCCTTTTTTGTTACCGTGTAGTATTGCATTGTGTAAAGGTACCATGGTGTTTTTATCCACTCATCTGCTGATGGGCGGCATTTAGGCTGTTTCCAAGTCTTAGCTGTTGTAAATTGTGCTGCTGTGAACATAGATAGGTGGTGTGTTTTCTTCTGTTGTCCAGCAGGTGGCGGTATTGCACAATTTTATGTTTCTCACCTGCAGTATTTGGGCCTCTGGGATCACAGTGGCATGGCGTCACTTTGGTTAAGGAAGGTGCTGTGTGTACCCCGGGGTGGTGGCTGTCCCCTGTGACTCACCTTGGCTATGGGGCACTAGCACTGTGATGGGGGCATGTGGCAAGTGGAAGAATAAATGTTTTTATCACTTAGTAAGTGGAACAAAGTTTTCCTAGTTGTTCAAGCCAAAGGCTCCGGGTTTATTCTCGGCGCCTCTCCTTTTCCTCCACGTCTAACCCACCGCCACGCCCTGTCGGGTCTACACGCCACGGCTCTGGGTGAGGCCTCGCACTTCCACCGGGACCACAATGCTGACCACGGCCCTTCCATTCCCGCCTCCCAGTTGGTTCTCCACAGCCACTCAAGTGAACTTAACAATATGGAGACTCTAATGACATCCTCCTCCTGGAACCCTTCCTGGCTTCCTGTGGCGGCCGACAAGCCATTCACTATCACGCCTGCTCCCCTCTCCAGGTCACCTTCTCAACCCCTTACCTCCCGGGTCCCCCACTGCACCATGTGACTTCTCAAATGTGTTTTCTAGGCCCTCCCTGGGATGGCCTGTCGGCTGCCGGGTCCTCCGTGGGGCCTTCTCTGATGGCCCATCCATCTTCCCTCCCCTGCCTTCCCTCTGGTGCTTCTCCCAGTCTGATGACCCTGTTTCTGTTTTGCCTCCTTGTTCGACCTTCCACGGGCTGAGCCCCTCCAGGCAGGCACTATTTTTGTTCACCTCTAGGTGCCCAGAACGCAGAACAGTAAGTACCTGACCCCATCATAGGTACTCGATAGAAATCTGTAAATAAATGACAAACAACCTTGAGTAATTTACCACTCGGGCAATTGTTTCTCCTGTTGGGATGGGAGAGTGTCACTTCATGACTTGCTCACCCTCAGTTCTTCGTTTGTATCTGTATAACGATTCCTAGGAACTTGGGCTTTTGCTGTGATCCCCAAAAAGCAGTGATATCACATACTCTGACATTCATGTCACTGAGAAATCAAAATGTAAAGACAGAACTATTCATACCTTTAATTGGAATAGGAATAACCACAGGAGGTTCACTTAATTTTGTAATTTGTTGTATTGGGAAAAGGTATTCCCTGATTGCTCTGGTGGTACAACCTCCGACTTCCTGAACATGTATGTTGTGGCCCATGGTAATCTGAACGAATCACTTTGAAAAGGTGAATAACCAGAGACTTGCTTGATGAGGGATTGGTTTTCTTGACTTTCAGAGACACAGGAGAATTCTCAATTCCAGGTTCTCTCCCAAAGTATAAGCTGATGGATTATGCTTTTAGTTTTGGTTCATTGCATTTAGAGGTAAGTGGACTGTAAAATTAACCTCCTTTCAAATGAGTGAAATTCGTTCTTGACATTTTTTAGATCTACATACTCATAATGGACCGAATGGGTCTCACTTTCAAACGTAATGTATGACTTGGGATTATCGAGAACATGTATTAAACCTCATCTCCTCTACACACGCACTGGCTAGTTTAGTCATTTAAAGGAACCCTTTGCCTTTCGCAGTTACTGGTGCCGCCGGGAATGACGACGTCTGAATTTCACAAGAACTTCCACCCCTTCCTGCGCATGTCCGGGGCCTGCAGCTGTAACAAGACGTCACTCAAGGTAGCAGTGGTGGTTTATTAAGGGCAAAATAGGCCTCTTGACTTGTGTGTTTGCTAAGAGTTCTGCTTGACTTGGAGGGAAGCGTTAGGCTCAATGAAAGCACTTGGCCGTTTTTTGTCTTTTGGTGTCTATGTGAGCAAGATTCAGAGTTCCCTAGTAGCTAGAATTCCTTTCTTATGGCTCCATTTGCACAGCAGCATCAAAAAGAGATCCGAGGGAGTGGATATCTTTGAGTCAGTGAAAGCAAAGATGACGGTTTCATGTGATCGTTGTGGCATGCTTTCTGCAAGTCATTGTGTTGCTGATAACCCTTAAGAGCATGAGCAGGAAAGAGCTGCTCTGTAAATAAACCTGTTACTGCTGAGAAGCACAGACCGTTCCTGGGCCCGGAGCACGCCACGGTTAAGTTGTTCTGCTGTATTCTTCAGACTGAACATCATGTTTTGTGGCTGGGAGTCTGTGTTTATACCGTGGCCCGTGGTCAGGAACACGCTGGGGAAGTCAGACTGTCACAGTTTAGCTAAACTGAATTCTCTGGCTTCTGTAAACCTAGTCTCTTTGCATGTGGGACCCGTGACACATGAAATTCATGTAGCCGTGTGTTTAGGAGCACTTGGCCTTTTCTACAGGCGACTACCTTACTATTAAAAAAGAAAATAACCAAGAGTCTCCGGTAGAAATAAACAGCCAAGTGCTTCTCTGTGTCCAGGGCTTCGGAAATAGTTGACTGTGCAGTGACGTCACTAGGTTAGAACAGATAACGTTATAGGACAGTGATGGTGAACCTTTTGAGCTCGGCGTGTCAGCATTTTGAAAAACCCTAACTTAATTCTGGTGCTGTGTCACATATAGAAATTTTTTGATCTTTGCAACCATAGTAAAACAAAGACTTACATTTTTGATATTTATTTTATATATTTAAATGCCATTTAACAAAGAAAAATCAACCAAAAAAATGAGTTCGCGTGTCACCTCTGACACGCGTGTCATAGGTTCGCCATCACTGTTATAGGAGCTTGGTCTGCTCTTCCTAGTGAGACTACATAATAGCACCCAGAACTTTCTTTGTCATTAGTAAGAAAATAATATCCACCAAAATAACAAGAAAACGGCTTGCTGCCACTTCCTGCATCCTCCGCTGTGTCCCATCTCCACTGTGGGCCTGGCTTTACTCTCAGTGCTGAGTTCATGCAATGGTAGGAACTCATTTTTCCCTTTAAGAAGATTTCATTAACCATGTCTTGAAATAGGTTTGAGGCCTATTCATACCAAGAATTAAACAAAAGTCAGAACGCTTCATTCTACAAGTAAGTGTAACCTGTAGTAAATACTTTTAAGTTATTCTAATGTGAAACCTCACAGTCTGATGAAAATAGCTTTTGTGACCTTGTGGTAACTGGGCTTATGCTGTCCCCGTGAGAAAAGGCTAGTAGTGCGTTTCCAGTACGTATAAGAAAGGATTTGGGGTGGCAGTAAGTTACTTATGCAAAGCTATTTTCTTCACAATGAAAGGTATAAAACGGGTTTAGAGTTGAACATGTATGGGTAAAGTCATCATCATCAGCGTTTTCTTGGTGGCAGGACTGTGTGTGTTACCTGGAGGGACTAAATCTATTTGAGGACTCAGACCACGCGTTGGTTTTTGATTTTTTTAATATCTATATAAAAAATAGCGAGCCATTTACAGATCTCTTTCTCTAATCAGAACCTCAGGTGTATATATAAAGGTACTGTACAATATATAAACATTTACAACCAGTACATCCATATTTGCTTAGCATTCCAAGGCCACATTGCTAAGTCAGAATATAATCAATACAGTGACAGGTTACTTAGGAAACAGCCACATCAGACTGACAACACATGACATCCAAGTCATGTCACAGTTAACAATAAAAATAGGATTGTTATCACTAATTGTGGGCTACGGGGGAAATAAATCATGTCTGTGGCGCTAACTCTGAGCGTAACCAAGCCTAGTTCTGCGCTGCTCCGGGGTCACGGGAGGGGCGTCGGGACAGGCTGAGTCCCTCGTCCCAGGAGGGAGCTTCACAGCCAGACGCCGAGTGGGAGGGGCCTGGACACGACGTTTCACAACCAGAGGAACCCGAGGGACAGGCAGTGTGTCCAGACACTCCCACAGGGTTTTGTTCTGAGAAGTTTCTTTATTTCGAGCTGCTACTGAACGCTGCTTCAGGGGCTGAAAAACACGGCTCTCCTGTGGTTAAACCCTGCCTCCACCTCCCACAGCATCTTTCCTTAGACCCGCGGGTCCGCACAGGCGACCGGAGGTTTGGGCTCCCTTTTTCGTCTTTAGACGGAGTTAGTGGAGCGAGGAAGGCAGGGAGGCCCAGCCTGTCTGTCCCCTGCGTGTCCTCAGCTGCGAGGGGGCTGAGGCCCGGCAGCCTCTGTGCAGCTGCTGGCATGACTGAGACGGGTTCTGATTGTGACGCTTCAAATATGAACTAACAACCAGTGACTTAGCAGGTGCCACCAAAACAGCCAGAAATCGAAACCTGCTAGTTTTTCTTCGGCCAGGAGCACAGGGTGTTCCCACAGGAGCGGCCACGATCCCGGCTGGGGGGCCAGGAGGTGGACGCCGCTTGGCTTCAGTGCGGTCTCCTGCGGAACGTGCAGTTGTAAGTAACACCTTTAAGTTACTTGAAACACCTTCCCCAGCGGCACTGAAACAGAAAACCGCGCGAGGTCAGGATCTGACTACCTGTTTTTCTTTGCGGCAGGGACAGTGATGTTGTATTTCTGAACTGGGACGTCGTCGGGAGCTGTCGGAAGAGGCACCGCCATCTGTAGCCACGAGCGAGGCCCCCTCTCCTGCGGGGACTCGAATGGTCCTCTGTAAACATGCAACATGCGATTGAGAACATGGCTTCCAGGCCACGCCTCGGCTTCACTGCTGCGGGAATACTGCGGGAGGAGGAGGAAATGGACGCGGGGCAGCCGAGAACTTGGCACAGACCTAAAGTGAGTTGTGACCACACTGTTAACGTCACGTAGGCCATCTGTTGAGACAGCATGAGGGCGAGGCAGGCAGCCCGGGGCCGGCGCGTCTCAGCAAACCAGGGCCCTTCGTGCGGCCCCAGTGAAGTCAAAATGTTCTCAGGCGTGGGGGTTTCTGGAAGAACGACTTTTGGGGGGAAACGCTTACACGACAGGTCACAGCCGTCTCTCGGCCACCCCAGTCGAGCCCGAGGCTTTGCTGGCACTGGGCACCTTCCAGGGCCCTGGCGTGAT